TTCTGACATTACTAAGACATTCAAATGACCTTAAAATATCATCTGACAAGGGAAATTTTTACTGGTTGTCTGATGGGGCGGTCCAGATTCTAGTAGTATTTACGAAATATGTCACTTTTCAAAATCTATAAATAGAGCCACACTTTTTTCAGTGTATGTGTTAGATTATCATACAATACTAATATATAAATATATCATTCTACCGTCGTGAATTCTCTGACATGCTATAGTATGACATCATACGTGAGAAACCCTTCAGCCATTGTAAAATTTGTGTCAATCACTAAATTGCTATTTAACGAAATACTATCAATGACAGAGCTTCACACTCTAATGCTCATCCTTCTAAGAGACAAACTTATAGCTCAGGATATCAAGCTTCTATTTTTCCTTCCCCCATAAGAATTATCCTGCTAGCAAAGATACTTGAGATCTATCTTTGGAGGATAGAAATTGTAGTGCAAGGAATCCTGTGCTAAAGCCAATGATAAGTGCTTGAGGGAGTTACCCGAGGGTGATAGAATAAGCTGTTGTCGGAATAACTGGTAATATCATCGGTAAGAATTGAGCCTAGCGCCTCTTTCTTTTTTGTTGGTCTGTGTCTGTGAAACAAGCAAGCTTAGCTTTCTGTAAACTGGAGTCATATGCAAAAGATAAAAGAAATCAAAGAATGAGATTCTCTAGCCCTATGTAAAGTCTAACAAGTAATACTAACACAAGCAGATGGGGTTTAAATGCCCTAAGATTAACTATTAATGGAGAATGCCTCTATTGATAATTCCCTATTGGCCCCCCCTCCCCACAATGATGGAACTCCTCCTTGCTGATCCAAGACACCAACCACTTTTATATTGCTAAATCCTTCCATCAATCTCGTATGAGCTGACCCTTTGCCACACTATTGAAGAAGGATACTCATTTCATTGGGAAAAGTCGTGCCAAAAGGTGTTTTATGATATGTAGGAGAGAAACTTACAGGTGCAGGTGCTCAAAGAGACACTACAAAGGTGTCGAAGAGACACCCAAACATGTCAAATGCTAAATAACAAACAAGGCAAACACATCAGGCAACATGATGCAAACATGCATACAAGTATGCATCGTTTGAGCAAAGTCAGTCAAAGATAGCCAACCCGACTGAAGTGACCGATCAATTGCCCCTGGGTGGTTAATCACACCGAAGTGATCGATCGATTGGGTTGGGGTGGTCGATCAAACTAAAGTGATTAGATGATTGGGTCGGGGCGATCAATCGATCCTAATTGATCAGACGACCGAGCCAGAGCGGCCGATCGAACAGAAGTAGCCAAGTGGTCAGGCTGATTAGCGTGATTAGTCGATCGGGTCGTGGCTGTCGATCGAACTAAAGTGATCGGACGATCAGGCTGAGGCAGCCGATTGAACTGAAGTGATCACACCTTCAACATGCAATATGCAAAATGCCACACAAGACATGCAAAATGCTAGATGCAAAATGACATGCATGCAAAATAGGATGAAAGGCATGCAAGCAAATGAAACCAACACGCTTGATAGAAACTCAAACTCGTCCTACCGAGCTCACGGTCATTATGAAGTCGTAGTTGCCGCCCATTGCACAACATAACAGTTGGTCTGCATTCGATTACCAGGTTAAGCGAAGGGACTTTTCAACGAAGGAGAAAATTTTTACAAAAGCAAAAATTTCCCTTGCAGATGCAACCCTAATGACCTAAAGAACGAGAATCAAAGGGGCTTTCTCATCCCAAGGATGAGGCCGCTGAGTAACCGTGAGATTTCTCAGTCCCGAACCGATCAGGTAAAGGTGCACAAGCTTAGAAGGGAAAATGCACGGATTTGTGAGGGGAGTCCATGAACGACTTGATAACCTAATGACTTCTCTAAACAAAAAACCCTAGTCCTTAAATCTCTATCAACCGGATCTTGGGTGCTCTAGGAAAGGACATGTAAGAGTTTGAAATTGTTATAGCTTCACAACGGTTGCGATCACATTCTCTTTGCTTAATCCTTGCTCCGACCTTGCCCTGATGAAGCTTCCTCCACTCCCCCAAGGGATGAAGAAGCTCTCCTCTATAAGGGGAATAGATGAAGCTCCAAGTAAATATCCTCCTTTCCTCTGTCTTTTCGGTCAACAAGATGATTGGTAAAGAAAGCAGTGACGATGACGAAGGAAATGGAGAAGAGGAATGAGAGGAAGGAGGAGGAGGAAGAAAATGAAGAAGATCTCGACAAAGACATCCAAAAACTCTCAAGAAACTCTTCCTAAGCTCTCTCCCACTCCTTGTGATCTCCTCAACCAAATGAATCGCGATGCCTAGCCAAAAATCCCTCCGGGCTTGATATCCCATGGCTCAAGGCAATTGAATGATGATTTGTCTGGTTATGAAAGGTCCCAAGTGTTGTAAAATGCCATCTTTTGCTTCTAATTGGTAATGAAAACTTATTCGAAGACCAAACTACATTTCCAGAGACCACAGGACAAAACAACGCAAAAGTGGAGGTCTTAACATGGCCACGTCAGTGTTTCGGCGTGACCACGCCCTATCCTAACGGTGTCGCGACACACCTTCGGCATGGCCACACCCGATGGGTGGCGTAATTACCCCACCTGCTCAATTTGGTCGGCATGGTCACGCTTGAGAGACAACATTCGCGGGCCCTGGGTATAATTGGTGTGGCCAAGGCCGAAGTGGGTATGGTCATGCCAGTGGAGGGATGTCGCGCGAACAAAGAATGCCAAGGTGTGGTCACGCCAAGCCCACTTAAATTGGACCTCCGGTCGAGGGGATTTATGCCTTATGCGGGCCACAGACAACCCTCATTAGGCAAAAACAATGCTCCAAACGCATTCGCGCCATTTATTTTACGCTCCAGAATAATTTAAATAAATTTTGTGGACAACTGAGCCAATTAGTAGGTCTGGCTCATATGTGTCGCTTCAAACGAGATCAGTCGGTTCAATCGAAGTTATTTGACAAACATAATGTTGAATGATCTTTAAGCAACAACTAAAGTCTAACAGGGCGACCCTAACAACATGCCCCTCATCACGTATCAGAGAGTCTCTAATAGATGTCTTGAGGTTTGAGGAGCTATATATGTGTGAAGCACTACCTCAGGCCTTTCAAGCAGACACCCTAAATGCGTACTTTTTAATTAATTATTTTTTGGGCATTATTTACTCTTTTCCTACACATATGATACCAAAAAGTGATGCCAACAATGCACATCAGAAAATACAAGCGTTTTATAGGTTTTTTTAGTGTGCCTATGTTAGCCCGAATTTTTTGTTAGACTATTAGGACTTTTTTACTCAACCTACAATCTTTATCCTAAATTTTCAAAATCAAACTCATAACCCAAGCAATAAATAAAAACTCAAAATAAAACAAAAGCTAAACAACACCTTAACATTTGTAGTTGCATGCATATAAATACTAAATAACATATATAAAATCAATTAGAAACTAAAGTTGGATAGTTGATCCATTGAAAGATACATGTATTGCATATAGTATTTCTTTTGTTACTTCTATTCTGGCATTCACCCAGTACACGGAAAGGGAAGAACCTAATTATGAGAATCATCCCCTTTATGGAGTGCATCTGTCTTCTCTAAATGACTTGGCTTTAATACTTTCCACGCATGATTCATCTAAAGGATTACATACCCTTTCCACAGCCTTTACTTCATAGTTTTAAAAAATAATCATTCAATATTTAATTAACTAAATGATTTCTGATTGATTGATCAGGTTGATCATTTCTCCTGCCAAATTGGTTTTACTCTTTTACTTATTCGTAGAACTCACATTAATTTAGATTTTGAGGCGATCATGCTGATCTTGTCAGATGCAAGTCATCTCTCAAGCTTTTTTGATGGCTTGTTTTGTCGAATATAAGTCCTGACTCCAAAAAAATTGTAAAACTAAATATTACTTCAATATATTAATTGTAAAGCCTAAATATAGGACAAACTGGAGTAACCAGTAAGCCTCCTAGTATATCGTGCTTCATACTCCTCGTTCGTTGGCTTCCAACAAGAGCTGTTTCAAATTTGAGCAAATCTCTTTTCAAACTTTAAAAAGAAATCTTGAATTCTATTGTTGTAATTTGTAAAAACATCAACCACATTTTTAGATGATAATGTCTTTTTCAAGGATATAATAAACTTAAGAGGTTTGCCTCTTTAGAGATGTACGATCCCATAATTAAAACTATTTTTCTAAGGACAAAGGAAATACTTTCAATTGACAGCCCCACAGATTAGTGAAATTATTTCACGATTAAATCCATTATATGATAGTATTTGCTACCTCAAGGTAAAATATTATCATTTGATGTTATATTTGATCACAAATGAGAAATTTTAAACCCTATGAGCCATCCACCACAAAATATACATTAAGCATGAAACACACACATAAGAACTAGCATTGAATTTACTTTTACTTTGACTTATGTACAAAAGAAATGTAACTTGATATTTTGAAATGTCATTTGAATTTTCAAAATGTCAATAGAGTAGTGTTGGCCTTCATTATCATTCCACAAATTGAATCAAGCACGTGTTTCAACGATGTAGCCAACGTGTTTAGATTATTACATTCCAAAGAGTGAAGTGATAAGGCTTTAGATAACATCGAAGGTGATCCTGACACTTAAATTTTTTTTTAAACTATCATTTATACATTAGAGTTCACAAAAAAAAAAAAATGAATATTTTAATTTAATTTTAACAATTTAAATAAGGCAATATTTATAAAAATATGTTTTATTTAAAAATATAAAAAAATATATATTAAGGGTCTGTTTGGGGCAGCTACAACTTATCAGCTACAACTTAGCCCCAAGGAAGCTGTTACAGGGGAAACTGCTGCTGGGAAGCGGACTGACTGTTTGTTTCAGTGGTTTGAAAACAGCTGTGTAACAGCTATTTCTGTACAAATGACTATTTTGCCCCGATTTAGTAATATTGTTCATAACAGAACTGTCATAGCTGTATATTCGATACTTCAGAAGCAGAAATTCACTTAAGAACAATACAAAAGTTTAAATACACACCTAAATTAGCGAGTACCACGAGTGCCAAAAAAAGTAAAAAACTATTAAAATTACAATTAATATATTAATTATATTATTTTTAACATGCAGACGGTGTATGTCCCCTGCTACACTGTCTACCAGTGATGGTACCATTCTTGATCACCGTCAGTCATGGAATCCACTTAACTGTTTGCCCACCGGAAGAAGTCACACAGCTTCGCGATGATCTGTGAGCAGCTGTAGAACTGTTTCCCGTAACTATGGGCCCTACGTGACGTCAATAGAGAAGTTTGTAGTCCACAGTGGCAGAACAATCGTCGGGGATGTTTTTGAAATCCTTGAGCTCATCTTTCATGAATGCTGCAAAAGACAATGCATTCGTGAAGACATGAATTAAATTTACTAAAAGAAGTAATTAAAAATTCACACTTACAAATAACATAAAAATTTAAAACTAGCAATATAAAATGTAAAGTACAAATGCTTTTGAATAAAAAAAAATATAACACTGAAAGCTCACTATCCAATATGAATGTTAAAAATGTTTTGACAAAGGAAATGAATTACACATAATACTGAATAAATTACAAATAATCTAATTGGCCTCATACTAACGCACCAGTATTTTTTGCCCTTAGCTCCATCATTTCGCTTGCACCCTCTCCCTCTCTTAGTATAGATGATGGAATGTGTGTGTGATTGAAAAATATGTTTTTCTTGTCATAAGAGTGCCCCAAGTGGCATTAGTCTTGAATTTCAATAACAAAACATGAAATTCTACATATGTTTCCTAACAGTGAGCATAAGCATGATGACAAAGATGAAATATTCTCATTTCTCCCAATATTTTCTCATTATATGCCCCAAGAGGTATCAACAACGCATGATATGCTTTCACAGTCATATTTTGAGGCTATCTATTTCCCTACCTCACTTAGAGTGTGTGTGATTGAAAAATAAGCTTTTCTTGTTAGAAGAATGCTCCAAGTGATATTAATACTAAATATCAATAACAAAACATAAAATTCTACATATGTTTTCTAACAGTGAGTATAAAAATGATGATAAAGATAATCTGTTGCCATTTTTCACAATAATGTCTCATTATACGCGTATCAGTAGCTACACATGATATACTTTCACAGTAATTATCTGAGCGTATCTATTTATCTGTCTCACTTCAAAGCGTGTGTGTGATTGAAAAATATTTTTTTTTGTCATAAGAATGCTCCAAGTGGTATTACTACTAAATTTCAGTAACAAAACATGAAATTCTACATATGTTTCCTAGCAGTGAGAATAAAAATGATGATAAAGATGATACGTTGTCATTTTTCACAATAATTTCTCATTATATGTCCTATGGGGTATCAGTAGCTACGCACTATATACTTTCACAGTAATTGTCTGAGGTAATCTATTTCACTGTCTCACTTCATAGATTGTGTGTGTGATTGAAAAATATGCTTTTCTAAGCATGAGTTTTGCAAAACAGGAGCACGAAAGAAGAAAACCAAAAACAAATCCACAAAATCAAACTAGAGCACCATCACCGGATAAAAGCACCAAACCAAAAAAATATAGTCAAATCCATACGGTGCAAATCCAAAAGTACTGAAAATTTCTAAAAAAATATAGGGAGAGGGGATACCAGAAGAAGATGGTGTTCGACACAACGAGTTAGGGATGAGGAAGCTGAATATCCGCGGAAAATGAAAGTGCAGAAGACGAACGCGCAGTTTTGCTAAACAACACGAACACCGCGATCTAAACTCCTCCCCAAACTACGAAAATGCGCAGCAGCCTGCCGCGTCGGGTGAATAAACTCTACCCTAAACAAACCGTAAATATGTAAATATATAAAATTTATGTGATGTGTTTGAAAATAACCCTAAATTTTAGAATGTTTATAAATTTATTCCTGATATGTCAAATTTTTTGATCGATTGCCACAATAGTAGTTATTGATGCTCCTTTGCCCTCCAAATTTTCACCCTTCATGGGTGTTTGATAGCGTACTTTTAACATAATTTATGGCGGAATTTAACATAAATCCAATCAAATGCAAAAAAAAAAAAAAAAAGGAAAACCAAATTCCAATTTGTTTCGAATTTGTTAAATCTGACTATTTGGTGGATTTAACAGATTTAGCTTGAGATGAAAACAATTGCTATAAGATCTTAAAATAAAATATCGAACATCTCTAAAGACTTTAATTGGATTTAACGTCAACTGAACCAAACAATATTCTGGATTTAACAACATATGAATTTGATATATATGGATCTACTAAATTTTTTAAACGTAAATCCTGAGTGCAACCAAACACCTTTTCTACAGCATCTGCGGCCTATAGACGTTACCGTAGCTCATCACTACAGTCTATGTGACTAACAACGGCCTATATGTGTAAGAATTATGTGATGTTTGTGAATATCATACCCTAAAGAGCTCTATCTAAATTGGTTGTACATAACAATTCTTTTAAGTCTTTTAATTATTTGCTGGTAAGCTTCTCACTCCCATTGGTTGAGAATCTCATGGCTAGCAGACATGATATGTGAAATATGGAGAGGTCTTACCCTTTCTTACCTCAAATAAGGAATCTCTTATTAATTATTATGAAGCCAAGCCTCACCTCCACCTATCACTTAACAAAACAAACATGCATGAAAAAGGCACCCATATTTCTTTGAAAATTTGTGCAAGGAATATGGAAGAATTTTTATGCCTAAGGCACCAATACAAAGTGATTACGTCCGTGGACCACAGAGGCCAGAGTTAGGCACTGCATGAGTTGTGAGTCATGCAAGTCATAGTTGACCATATATGTCATAGTAGTGAGTTACTATAACATTCGCAAACCATATAGGCCGAAGTTGAGAGCTGCATAAGCTATGAGTCATGCATGTTGTAGTTGGTTACATAGGTCGTAGTGGTGAGCTACAATAACATTCATAACCCACATAGGCAAAAATTAGGAGATGCAAGAGCTGTGAGAAATATAAGCTATAGTTAATCACATAAGTCGTACTGATAGGCTGTGATAATGTTCGTAAGTCAAACACCCTATATGCGACGCCAAGTTCGGCATAGGCTTTAACGAGTTGGACATCTCTTGCCTCTAGTCTTGCCTGGTGGAAAGTTTGTTACGGAAGTAGGAAACCAGTCAGCTAATAAATGTTTCAAATACCATTGCCACATGACAACTGACTATACAAATTGTTGTTTCATTTCATTAGATGAAAAGGGAGAACCCAAGATAGGAGATTCTTTCGAAAAGGAAGATAATTATTTAGTTGAGGAACAAATAATGCATGTAAAAGAAAGAGACTTACTTGTAGCTTGACGCCTTCTTACTATCGATCAATCCTTCGAAAAGGATTAGTTGTGACAATTTTTTTAGGATCGGTGCACCGTTAGGACAAGGTGTAAACTGATCATTGATGGCGGGAGTTGCGAAAATGTGATACCCTCAACCATGTTTGAAAAAGCACAAGCTAGTTACACAACTTCAATGACATCCTTATCAACTTACAAGGCCTAAAGAGGAAATAAAATCGAAGTCACGAAGCAATGTTTGGTGCAATTATTCATTGGGAAGGGATTTCAAGGAAAGTGCCATGCGAAGTCATCCCCATGGACGCCTGAAACCTCCTCCTAGGTCGTCCTTGGCAATATGACCGCTAAACCATTCAAAATGGGGATGTAGATACATACTCCTTCCCGAAATGAGATCGACAACATGTTGCTCTCATCTTCAATTTTCTTGAAGGAGCTGAAAGAACATTATATTGGCTACTTACTACTCTTTAATTAAAATGTCGAGTAAGCCACTGAAGTCCCAACTAAAGTATCAGATTTGATTCAATAACGTAAGGATGTTTTTCCTGCGAAATTTCACATTGGTCTACCTCCTTTGAGGTATGTTCAACATGCAATCAATTTGGTGCCAGTTTCAATTATACTACATTGACCCGCATATAGCATGACTCCAAGGGAACATGAAGAACTTTAGTGTCACGTGGACGACTTAATACAAAAAGGGTTGGTTCCCAAGAAAGATGGAACGTGGCTCATGTGTATGGATAGTCGTGCAGTCAACAAAATCACCATCAAATATCAATTTCCCATTCCTCGCTTAGATGAACTCTTTGATTAATTAAAAGGGTTGCTATTATTCTCCAAAATTGATCTTCAAAGAAAATACCATCAGATTCAAATGTGACATGGTGGTGAGTGAAATATCACATTCAAGACGTGAGATAGATTATACGAATGGAAAGTCATGTCCTTCAGTTTGTTCAATGCTCCAAGTACTTTGATGCGGGCAACGAACCAATTGTTACATTGCTTTTTGGAAAAAAGCCTATTTTAGTTTGCTTCAACAACATTCTAATTTACAATAGGGATGTAATCAAGCACCTAAAATATCTAGAACAAGTTTCTGCAATATTGTGACAACATCACTTCTACGGCCATACACAAAAGTGCGCCTTCATGACCCACCTAGTGAACTTCTTAGGTTTCGTGATTTCAGCCGTAGGTCTAGAGGTAGACTCGAGCAAAGTAGTTGTTCGGGATTGGTTAGAGCTGGAATTCTACAAGGAAGTGAGGCAATTTCATGGTTTTACTTCTTTTTACTGTCGGTTTATCAAGAACTTCACACAATCACAACTCCTTTAATCGAATTACTCAAGCAAACTCACTTTTGCTAGAATGAACATACACAACACAATTTTGATTAGTTGAAGGATGCCATGGGCACCATACTGGTCTTGAGACTTCCTGACTTTGATGTGTTATCTGAGGTTGAGTGTGATGCCTCGGAGGTGGGAATCAAAGCTCTCCTTAATCGACAAAGCACCCCCGTGGCTTTCTTTAGCAAGAAACTCAATGAATCAAGGAACTCAACTTACAATAAAGAATTCTATGTTATTATTCAAGCACTCCAATATCAGAGTCACTACTTGTTAGCTAACGAATTCATCCTTTACAACGATCATTTTTCTTTAAAGTACTTACAACACCGACATAATTTGAAAAGAAGACATGTCATTTGGGTGGAATTTTTATCTTCATTTCACTTCACTGTCAAACACAAATCTAGGGGTTCTAATCAAGTAGCGAATTCTCTCAATTTTTGACACGTGGTCTTCTCTCCTTCACTTCGAGGTGGACGATTTTGAGATGATTCAAGAATTGTAACCCATGGATTTGTACTTCTAAAAGATTTTACATATGCGTCAAGGTGGGCCGTACCATTTATTCCATTTTAGGGATAATTTCCTCTTCAAAAGAATCAATTTTGTTTTTTGAGAAGCCCTATTATAAAAGCGATTCTCACCGAGAGCCACGAA